GCCAGAGAGTGATCACAACTTTCACCCAAAAAGCTAAGACCCTTTCCCAAAACCATTTCACAACAAAGCTGCACAAAATGACTGACAGCTGTTTGAAGAAATTTAAGATATCACATAACTGACATAAAATGTGGAAGTTTAAGTTTGAGTAGGAAGGCAGAAAGTACTTTTTTTTTCTATAGACGCGTTTCCATCAGTGTTTTTCACAAGCATTTTGAAGGATCACATTAGAAAAGGTTGATGGAAATGGCAAAGTTTGAAAAAAAAACTAACTAATTTTCGCAAAGAAAGGTTTTTTTAAGCTTGCTTGATGTTGTTTTTGGATTTTCTGAAAAAGAGTTAATGCACAAAAGTGGAGATGGAAACATATTTTCAGATTAATTCTGATGTAGCAAACATTCCCATTAAATCAGAAACAAACATAGCTTACGACTCTAAAAGTTGATCAGATGTACAACCAATGGTTACTTTCTGCATGTGGTATTAAAATTGTCTAGTTTATAATGAGGTATTTTGGTACATGTACAACCACAACCAAAAGCATTTGCTTATTGGTGGCTGCTAATAATTAAAACTCAGTGATGACTTCCTGCTGTTTGTTCTTTCACAAATTTAAAATTGTCCTCCTGTGATTTTGGTAAGGAAGCATAGATCTCACTTCARTATTTTAATGATTACTAATTAAGTTGCTTTTCAAAAGAGTTTGAATTTAGTAAAGGGATCTTGAATATTTCTGGAAAGCTAGACTAATGAACTTGTTTACAAAATAAAAAAAAAAACAACATAAAGATTTTTTTTATTATTTTTTATTTTATTTTTTGTAACAGCAAGCAACCTCTGGGTCTGACTCCTTTTCCTATAAAATATTAGTTATAAAAACTTGACATTACTGATATAATTTATTGTAACTTCCCTGCCTGTCTTGCTAGAAGCTTCAGCAGTCCCCTGATGCTCCGATTCTTTAACAGCTTGTACTGTAACAACTTTCACAGAGCGTTTTGCTGAAAACACTCACTAACCAAAAGCTTCCTTTGTGGTCATCTCTCCCAGTGGGAGGGTGTCTAGGAGACAACAACAGATGTTACACGCTTTTTAAACAAAACAAAAAAATCTTTTGAGTACAAAAAAACCAAGATATGTGTGCTGAGAAAGGGGGAGCTGATCAAAGCAGTGACATACTGTGCTGTAGCACTGACTGATAATACTGCTGCACACATACAATACTTTATCTAATAATTACAATCTTTAAATATTTATAAATGCATGTAAAGTGCTGTGATTTTGCAACCGAGAAATACCCCAAAATGTACAGAGAAAAAATAATAAAAAATTTATTGAATTTGTGCAAAACAAGGCAGCCATGGGAAGAAAATAAACTATTTATTCAGGATTTGAAATAACAGTGCAGCAACTTTATTAAAAAATTAAAAAGGAGAGAACAGTGGATAGTGAGAAAATGCAAAAAAAGTAAACAAAAAAAAAAACAGCCTGTAACTCACAGATAGAGCTAAAAAATGAAGAAGTGTGTTTTTGCTTTTGGTGTTTCTGTACAACCTGGCAGGGATTAATGACTGGACGGCTGCTTGGTCCTCATATTGACTTGATGTCTAGTTAGGTATTTGAGTTTTTCACTGTTGGGCCTGCTGGCTGGGTTGATTTGGCTGGAGGACAAAATATAAAGTTGACTAGCATTTTTCTGGTTTGTTTTTAAGCTGTTTTTACCTTTTTGAATTAGTGCTTTAATACTGGTCTAATAGTGGGAAAAAGAAAATGAGAAATGTGACCCRCACTCTTTACCCATTCTGCTGTGTAGATTATACTGTCATTTATCACCATTTTTTTATTCTCACGTTGCTTTTTATCCAGTTAAATGAGATACATCATCTTTTAATCATTCTTTTYCACATTTAAATCATTCAGTTGGAGTCTGTATAAGGTGGAACTGCAAACATTTTTACAACTATCAACTATTATTGGCTCCATAAACCCCTCTCTTTTTCTGATGTGTCTCAGATCAACTTGTTTTGAGCTGTCTCTTTGAATGCAAATGGGGCTTTTCACTACCGGGAGAGATTAAACTTTGCACTCGTAGACCATGACCCCCAAGTACACAACAAAATGCATTTAGTGGCTAAAAAAGGTGGATTTTACATGGTATGTTCTCTTTAGGGGGACCACGTCATTATAGTTTTTTTGTTTATTGYTATTGTATAATTGTAATTCTTGGGGCACCACTTCCTGCTTAATAGGAAGAACTTGAGAAATCAATGATTTATCATTTATCAGTCTCAATGTAATTTACCATAAACATACGTTCTTTTCATTAGATAAATCCTTAAATTTACTAAGACAAGTAGATACACTCGTGTGTACCATTTATTTACAGATTAMTATGATMACAAAGTGATCAGGGGARTTGTCCTGGAACCGGTAGGTTGCTGGATCGATCCCCCATTCCAGCTATCTCAGTTGTTGTGTCCTTGTGCAAGACACGTCACCCCCAATGCCTCTGATGTGTGTCCCATCAGTGTATGAATGTGATTGACACTGATTAGTCTCCATAGTTGATTGTACATGTTAGCTTTGTGGAGACCTAATAGAGTGCTGTGTGAATGGGTAAATGAGAACACATATTGTAGTGTGAAGCGCTTTGAGTGTCCTGGTTGGGTAGAAAGGTGCTATACAAGTACAGTACATTTACCATTTACCATTCAAGTATAAATAAAATGATGTTATGAAAGAAAATGACTGAAATTAATAACTGGCAAGATATAGGAACTCTAATATAACTGATCCAGAATCCAGATAAAACTCTAAGATACAAAAWTAGAAGTGAGCATAAAATTWCTTTGAGCATAAAACAAAACACAGAATGCATCTTGAGGGAGGTTTAACTATGTTGCATAGATAAAATTCAGATTGAGGTTTTGAACTATATTTAAGATAATTTTACCAAAAGGCTCCTAGAAAGAGGGAACCAACTAGCATCTGAGCATCTTTGTCACCAGCAAAATGGGCAGATATTTTGTCCTACCGATCGTGTCCTGCTGTTGGGTGGGTACTACAGGCTCAGCCGCTGAGCAAAGCTCACGGATGAAGAGGCGCTTCCCCAGGGGAATTTGTTGATTGATTTGGCTATCAGACACAAGAAAAATGGCTGTATGACCTTCATAGTCCCGCAGTCAGGACTCTGGTGATGGTGATGGTTGTGGTGGTGTCCTAACCATCCCCAGGAGTTTATTCAGTCTTGGCTTTAAGCAAAATGAGTTTAAATGGAGCACTGAGTTGAAGTGAACTTACTTTACTTACATTACTATAAAGATCAAACCCAATGTTGTGGGTTGGCACATTTAACTTGGGTACAAGTTCCTAATGAAGTTTACATGGAAACTGTGACAAAGTGTTGGTGTTTATGTTGTAGATTTCTCCAAAATGACACATGGAAGTACACTTTATTTCTGGTGGAAATGCTGTAAGTAGGAGAGAAAAGGCTTGACAGACAGACTATTTGAATGGTGCACGACACATGCAGCTACAAAAAATTCGGAAGGGCACAATCTCACGCCAGGACAGTGCTCGAGGCCAACGCACGGGGCAGGTACAGCGCTATTGCGTCACTTATGCTAAGTTCACACCGAACGTGTTTTGAGAGGCCAAAAAGTGCAAAACGCCTCAAGTTGGACSCACTATGTTCAGACCAGAATGCACTCTTCAGACCAAAACGAGAAGCAGCAGCAGCTGCGGCAGCGAGGTGTGGGAGGAGCGTCTGTCCTCGGCGGGTGAAATAAAGATAAAATAAAAGAAAATGGCTTTGATTTGTTTACTGAAGCACAAGCAAATGTTGTGCACAGCACAGTGGTGGCTGGTGGATTTTTCTCCGGGGGTGGGCAAAATCCAAAATAGGCCCATCTCCAAAAGCAATCAAACGTACTAAGTTGTATCACGCCAGTGTATTTATTAAACAAATGAAAGTAATAAAACAGCATTACAATGTCATGTAATGTTTTATTTTTTGTACATAAATGTTGCTCATCTGTTACTGGGAAGCAAATTTCTTCATGACTCTGGTTAAAGTCAGGGATGTTTTAACAAGATTCTTCTCTATAGAGCATGGTCAGTGCAGTGAGATGTGATGTTGTACCTGAGGAAAGTCTGGATTGTCTTCAGTGTTGAAGCTCCTCTCAGATTCAGCTGTGGTCAGAGGAGATGTGATGAGAACCTTCAGCAGAGCCACAGTCTCTGAAGGTGTCCTGCAGATTGTTCTTCATGAAGAGCAGCTGGTACAGAGCCACAGCACCACTGCAGCTCCTGAACTAGATCAGACATCTTGGTCATGTTCAGCACTGAGTGAGCCTCGACAACTGTCTGTGATCCTGCAGCAACCTGGGTGCCTGCAGAACTGATCAGATGCTTGGTGAACGGCTCAAGATGGTGTCACAAACCTAAAACAACAAATGCACAAATTTTATTCATTATGAAGATGGCTACAAGTGAGCTTTCTAATACATGTTTAATATATAGAGAACAATTAATGTTATTTTAGTAGCAAGAAATTGTTTCACCTCTTAGGTAAATTATCAATTATATTTTTATTTTCAAAATATATTCATTTTATTAAAAAAAACAAAATAAACTATGTACAACAGAAGAAAAAATATAAATAAAATGAAAGGCAGCAGAAAGAAGAAAGATATAATCTAATATCTGCCCCTTTTCAAAAATAAATTCAAACAAAATCAGTTTAAAAAAAAAAAACTAAACAAAAACAAAAAATATTTTTATATTAAGTTGTGTTCACCATTATTTACATTATATACTAATCAAAAATAAAGGGAACACCAACACAATCTAACTACACCACGTTCTTGCTCAATTTTTACAATGTCTGGCTTATTCAGTCCAAGCTACTTCACTTTAAGTTTCTCCTCATATATTCTGCTTTGAAAAGGTTGAGCTATAAGGGACTTAACTGTGCTGTTTTCTCCTCCATTCTCGACTAGTTTGTCCTCCCGACCAGCTGACTCACATCGGTACTGATATATCCTGCCAGAAAATCCAACTGCAGACGATCGATTTCAGGTAAAGATCTCCTGTCCGTCTGTTTTGGTTTGGTGGGCAATATTCAGGAAACGGTCATGTGGAAAAAGGAGTCTCTGTGATTGGTTGTCAAGACGCGTCGAGCGGCGAAAAGTTCCGATTTTTTAACTCTGGTGGCGGCAGTTTCCGCAGCACCGCATGCGCGGAAAATACTCTGCTGCCCCTTCCGCCTTCCTTGCGTGCCACCCAAAACGTACATGACGCGACGCACGACCCCTAAAGACGATTCCGCCATAGACTTTTCATGTAAACTGGCTGCTTCTGCAGCTCAAAACGCGTTCGGTGTGAACGTAGCAAGAGGTCAAGAGGAAGAAAGCCACATGACTTGGTTTTGATGCTCCTAAGGGGCAGAGTTTCTGCATTAGCTGATGCAATCACAGGACTTCTTTTACATATTAACCAGGGGGTAGGTTGATTTTCAAATTCCTGTTTGCCTCAAATAAAACAGGAAAATTTAATCTGTGTTAAAAAATACACCTTTAGTAGATGTTAGGTAGTTCCTCAAGACATAACATAACACACTTYGTTCAGCTTTTAACTTTAACCAGTAGAAAATAGTAAGTTAGTTTATCACATGTATAATAATTAAATCAAACAATACAGAATTTCTAAACTTGCTAAAATAAATGTAAATAATTAAAAAATATATTAGATGAAAAAAAGCAGTTGGTAATCAGGAAATAAGCAACATCTTCGGTAAGAAATGAGATTAAACATGAAAACAAATAAAAAATATCAAACTTTAAAGGAATATCGTATGTGACATGATGATAATATTATAGAACTCTACTTGAAAACAGACCATTTTAGTCATAACTTGAGACAGGAAGGGGCTAGCTGCACAAAACTTGAAAGCCTTACATTTGAAAAGATGTTTAACAATTCGGCTTGGCAGAAACAGCTCTGACCTACCCAGAAAAAAAATTGCTATTTTTAATCTGAGTGCTAAAATCAGGGCTATTTGGCCAAAAATGAACGTTTAATTATGAAGATATGAAGAAAGGCCAGGCAGGGGAATCCCCTCTGGTGATGATGAAACAGATCATTTCCTAAATCTCAAACCTCAGTGAGAACTCCGCCCCCTCATTTGCATATTGGACCATGAAATTAAATGCCATGAAATGGTAAAAAAAGCCTGAAATAGTAAAACAGCATGAAATAAAAAGGGAGTTCAAAATAAAAGTCCCTGAAATATGTAAAGTAGCTTTACAAAATAAAAGTGTCACAAAATAAAACTACAATATGTAATAAATAAATAAATAAAT